TGGTGACTGTATCCTCATTTTATAAAGGGCAATTTGGAAGGAGGTAGAAGATGATGAGGCTGGGTCTTAAAGCTACATTCAGTTAGCATTGTTTCAAATTTTATTAGGCACACACAAAACCTGTTTTTAAAGCTGTTCTGGTTTATGGGTATGATTGTGGTGTTCAGCATTAAAAAAAATATGGTAGATAAACTCAGGCTGCTAAAGATGAGTATGAATTTTCCTCCATCTGTTACACAGGAATACATTTGGAAAGTTTTCTATAGCACTAGTGCAATCAGCAATAACCCTTTGTACAAATATGTAAGCACTGTTCTCTGTATTTAGCATGTCGCTAAACTTTGTAGCACCTCTGCTCTCTCTTTTCACGCAGCAAAAGTACTTTGATTCAGGTGACTACAACATGGCCAAGGCCAAGATGAAGAACAAACAGCTTCCTGTGGCAGGGCCTGACAAGAATCTGGTAACTGGTGACCACATTCCCACGCCACAAGATCTACCCCAGAGGAAGTCCTCCTTGGTGACCAGCAAGCTAGCTGGCTAGCCTTCGTCATTCAAGAAGCACCCTCCCCCCCTTCCCCCCGGGATTCCCAGCAAGCATCCCTCCTCCACTTCACCTGTGTCCCCAATATGTCCATCCACTCCCCTCTCTTCCTTTTACATCCCCAGGCACCACTGGCTTTAACATATCGGGCAGAGTTGTATAAGTTAAAACTCCATTTGCTTATATGTGGGTGGGGCGGGATGGGAGGGACGGAGGTTTAGGCGGCCCACAAGGTCACAGCCTTCTCTGCCTTCCCACAACGCACAGCTCTGCCCCTTCTGTGCACTCTGCGCTACCGCCTCCCTTATATCTTGGTTTTCAGTGTTCCAAGATGCATTACAGTAGGTGTGTGTGTCATCAGGCAGGGGTTGGATGGGATGAGTTAATGCACTTTGTATTCTGTATAGTATTTTTTTTTTTTTTCATTTTTGCATCCTGAATGACACCAAAATAATGTGTGTACGGGAGTTAGGAACCATGATCACAATGCGTTCTTTGAGCTTCATCTTCCCTTTCTATGCTGGTAGCTAGCTTCAGCGGGAGGGTTTGGAAGATATATGTGAATAATTGCTTGCTTACCAAATCTGTGAGGGGCAGCTTAAGGGATACTTGGCATTCACTAACACCCTATTGGGAAATGAGTGGAAGTTTCCTTGCATCTCACCCCTTCAGTCACTTCAGTCAAATATAATCTGACGACAACTGCTGCAGCTCATCCAGGCAGGGATTTGAAACACTTTTTTCTCTGTCTGTGTGCTTCTGTTGCTTTTATTTCCTACACCTTTTGCTCCTGTTTCTCTCATTTAAAAAAAAAACATGGCTGCATGTTTGTAATATGTAACAAAAAAAAAGAAAATTAACATGCTTTTGTAACAGGAGTGGAGCAGCTGCTTAGTAAGTGATCAAAACAACCACCTAAAGTCCTGAAATGTCCACAGTCACACTTCTTTACTTGCTTTGCTTTATGCTATTCTGACAATCCATGTACACACGCTCCTGTTTGCTGCCCAGGGTGGGAGCCAGTTGAGTATATCCTGGTATTATTTTTAAAGGCTGGGAACCCTGCCAGCCTATGAGCTCAGCCTTTGTGTGGTTGCTGTTGAGATGCATCAAGATATGTGCTAACTACGAGCCTAAAAGATTTGTTGGGGGGGAAGCACCCTGCATAGTGTATATGCTTCTGTAAATAATACTCAAACAAGCACGTAACTCGTGATAAGCTTAGCGCTTTAAGGACTGAACCGGCTAGCATGCCTGAGAGAAATGGTAGTGCTAAATCAACTCAGTTGGGATTACACCCTAGGATTTCTGGCTTGGATATTCTTTGCTTTAACAACTGAGCCGAATTCCACATTGCAAGCCCAGAGGCTGTGGATACACTTGTCTTTTCAATGTGACTGTTACTATCCAATCATCCTGCTTACATTGCAATGTGATGAGGCAGCTTTGAGCCCACACTGATCTGGCTAGAGATGTAAGGCTTCCACATATCTTTCTGGCTATTTTTGAAGCACTGATGCAAACACTTCTAAAGGTTTTGTATCCAGCCACAAAAGTCTCATTGAGATGACAAAAAGTACCCAGAGTCGTTGCAGTCATACTTGTGTCTTTCAAGGCCATATGTAAAGTAAATTTTTTTAGTATTTAAGGGTTGACTATGAAAAAAAACCTAATTCTGACAGTGATTTCTAATTTCATGTACGGTAAGAGAATGTTTTAATACTTAAGAATGAACAGTATGTCATAGTGGTTCCCTTAACAGCTGACCTCCTTTCACTGCAGTTCACATAATGAAACACTAACCTTAGTTTAAAAAAAGTTCAACTACTTCACTAAAATCTCAGCTGGAGTATTGCCCTACATTACTACCAGCACGTCGTAGAAGTTTATTCTCTCCAAAACTCACACTACTCATATGGATGTTTGATCTCAGGGGTGTTAGAGGGTAAACGACAGGCAACCTGATAAGTGCAGCTCTATAACGCATCATCACGGGCTTAAAGTGGAACAGGGCATATCTGCAGGAGCGCCAACACTTGCGAAGCAGAGAGAGATTTTATAACACATGGTGAGGGGGTAATCCCACCTGTTATGGTGAGGGGGTAATCCCACCTGTTATCGTGATTCAGCTTCTGAAACAGGTCAATGGAATGATCGCTAAATCTCTAGACTTTGAATGTGCGCCCTTCGCACAGTCAAGAATCTGAACTGGATGCCGGCACTCACTGAGAATCAGTGTAAATTACTGCTTCAGGGAACCTTCACAAACGCACACTCCACCACGTAGGCTAGGTAACAGGGTGCATGCACCATCACGTTCTCGACCTCACTTATTTTTCAATGAGACTTTAAAATGTGTCAAAGTTGCAGTGGGTGAAAGAGGACTGACTTGTGCATATATGCTTGTTGTTGTGGTGGTGTATGAATGCACTGCTTTTCTCTGTTCCAGCTGTTGTAAATAGACTTAAACAGGAAATTATTTTTGTTGTTTCCCACTTGCGTTCCACTCTTTCATAGCCCAAGCTATTTCTGATTCAATGGTTCCTCTCTCCTTTCTGTTTAACACTACTTCTGCTGTATCTTATTGTATCGCAGAGGCTATGTGAATCTGTATCAAATGGAAATATGTGTAAATGCTGCTGATTCAGTCAATGACAAATCTAAGAGAGCATACCCTGTAAAGAACATCTGTCCTCTTGATTTTGCCAGTCTGACTCTTTAAGCATCTCACTTCAAGAGTCATAAAGCTCCTGTGGCAAAAACTGGTTACATGTTAACTATGTTAAACTTCAACTTAAGTGCAGATTCCAAAAAATGTATGTATAAATGCATCGTTGGTTTGGAACAAATGTGTGGTCTAGCCAGATCTTAAAATTCTGAACTGCTTTGTCACTTTGATAAGAACAGACTATTATGTTCTGTTTAAAAAGCCTACATTCTTTCTGCTTCAAGAAGTAAGCCCAGGTTAAATAAAGAAAAGGTTAATATGCTGTGATGTTATGAAACAACAGTGGAGAGATGTTCTTGAATGCTACTTGATGTTTGGCTTTGCAAGGAGCAGTGCAACAAGAGGAAATAGCTGGGTATGTTTCATACCCAACACACAGGTGTCTCTTGTTCAGCTATGATAAATATGTGCCAGAATGTATAAAATAATTAACAGGCTGTGTGCTCTGAAGTACTTTTGTGCTGCTTTTACCTTATCTGTTTTCTTGTTTTGCAAGTAATATTTTTTTTCTTGTGTTCTCTTAATGCATAATTAGTATATTTCATCCTGGCCCAAGACTGCAGGGAAATCAGATGCACCCTTGCTTCCAAGAAAAAAAAGGGTTTACATGATAAACAGGATGACTGGAGAATACAGGAATGATTTTAAGACTTCAGAAGTACAAGGGTACTTGGAATGTTTAAGTTGTGTGGAAGTAGGTGAGAGGATTTTTGTCAGTATTTGAAATAAACTTTTACATTAATAAGGTGCTTTTGTGGGGTTTTGTTTTATGAGTTCAGTTGTTCATCCTTGTTACACGTTAAACAGATGAATTAGCTGCTGATTAAATCCTAAGATTTCTTGCATGGTCAACAGAAGAAATCTCGGGATGAGGCGCAAAACCCGGAATGTTCTGGGTTTAAAAAAAACAGAAGAAGGAAGAAGCATTCTCAGACACACAAACGCATAGGAGGCGCAAGCTTTCATTTACCACTAGGGGGAGGCATAATCATGCAGGTGTGAGAGACGAGCCAGGATGGAAAATTCTAGGTATTTCTGTTATACCAGCATATAACATGAAAGGTGATGAAAGCTACTAATTAGGATATATTTTGACATTGGCAAAGCAAAGACAGTTCTTTAACTTAAGGAAATGTGTCAACATTGGCATTCTGTCATAGATCAAATGCACTTCTGCTTATGTGAGGATAGGGTTGTTGTAAATCAATGGCACGTTATGGAGCTCGGAGATTTAAGATGATGGTTTCCTATACTCCTTTATTGGAAGATTAGTGTTGGAGTGATATCAAAGGAGTGTAATGGTGTCACTTCCTACCTAGGTGAATGTCCCTCTACAGTGCAACACATCTGTCGGAAGATAATCCAATACTCTATAATTTTAACATCATATTTTAACCATAAAGTCTTAAACTACTCTATTATTATTAGTTAAATTAAATTATGTTTTGCTTTGAGTTTAAAATATTTTACTTTGCTTTATCATTATTATTATTTTTGTTGTTATGTTGCCAAGCGTAGGAAAATAATTAATAATGAGGACATAACAACAGATTTTTAATTATAACCTCTGTGCGTGTTTTCAGTTGTATTGTTATTATAAATTTTTAGAATTAATTTTGGGAGTGTTTATGACAATGCCTAACACGGTTTAAACTGGAAATTTTTCTACGCCTACGTCAGTCAGTCGTGCGTCAGTGAGTCAGTGCGGACTATAAAAGGCGGACTCAACCGTTTTCAGTGCGTTACTTCCGCTCGAGAGAAAATGCCAGAGATGAATCGTTAGGCAAGAAGCTAGCTTTTTGTCAAATATAGCCTAACGCCGATTTTCTTCTCGAAGTATTTTTCGTGTAACAGTTTGGTGTTCGTTTGAAGTTAACAAGATGGCCAACTATATGATGTTGAAAAGGAACCAGTGCACCTTAATGGAATATCTTATTCCTCAAAATGGAGTCTTGGAGGGACCAATGCACTACGGATCGGGAAATTCCTCTCCGCAGAACGCCACAGGCTCCTCTAAAGACTCTAGCAACGGGATTGTGTCCAATGGTACCCCCAAACGGCCGGACAACCTCGAGGTAACGTCAACAAACGGGTATAAAACAAAAGCTATCCGGGACCGGGAGGAAGACGGTTCGTTGCCGAGCACCCCGGAGTTTCATTCGGACAGTGAATCCGACGAGCAGCTGGAGAGAGAAACGAAACTCCTTATTCACAGTTTTTTGGGTGACTTTACTGGACTTTCTCAGCCTCAACGAAAAGAAACCAAAGCACTAAAGACGATGAAAAGAGTTGTTGCGGACGTATTAGAAAAGCACAGATACGCTTACAACGGTAAGTTGAAACCAGTCTGTGCGGATTTTGCACAAAGACCTTTCAGAGCGTTTGTCTGCTTCACTCACAGGCTGCCTTTTAACTGCTTCAAGTCACCACAAGCTTGCAATTTTTAAACCGAGACCAAACTGCTAATATACTAAAATTGAATTTACACATTTCACTTAACTTCGACTTAAAATAAGTGACTTCAATTTTCTGATCTAGTCTAATTTTCTTTTCGCAGGAATGATTAATAAATTGTCATTGGATGAAAGAGACGAGGATATGTCATTTGTCGGTGCTGTAGCGAAGAGCCTCTTTGGAGACCACACGACCAACTGGGGTCGTATTGTCAGCTTTATGGCCTTCGGGGCAGTGGTCTCTCAGCACCTGAAGGAAAAGGGCAGGGACAACTACGTGGCGCTAGTGAGCCAAGAGATTTCTGCATACCTGCTGTCTGAACAGCGAGACTGGATTGTAAAAAACAATGCATGGGTGAGTAGTGACATGATTGGGGAAAAATAACTGCATAACTTCCTTTTATTGTCCCAGAAAGTATTTTGTGCCCAGTGAACATAATCTGCCTCTTTCTTACCCCATCTTTCTTTCACCTTTCCAGGATGGCTTTGTGGAGTTCTTTCGAGTAGCAGACCCTGAGTCGATAGTCAGGCACACGCTCATGGCCTTTGCTGGATTTGCTGGTATTGGGGCAACACTGGCCCTGTTGATCAGGTGAATTTGATGGACACTGAGCAGCAACCTTTTTTTTTTTTTTTTTTCTTTTCTTTTTTCTTTTTTTTTCCTTTCCCATTGGACACCTTTTCAAACCGCTTTCGGGAGGTGGAATGGACAAAAGGAAAAAATGTTTCAGAAATACATTATTTAATTCAGAAGTCTATTTTTGCTAAAAGATGTCATAATAAAAAGGAAAAAGACATTTTTTTTCCTTTTTTGCTAGTCTTTTTTTAAATGATTGTTTACTCACTATATTTTGTTGTATAATGCTTTGGTGGCAGTGGTTTGTAAGAATGACCCAGATCAAAACTAGGAAGCGAAACCTGCATGATTCCAGTTTCCAAAATCCATTCAGATCTTCTACAATCTTTTGAGGATATCTGAAGTCAAGAGTGCTGGAGGAGGTGGATTTTCATGAGTGGCAGTACTTCCTGATTATGAAAATGCTGGAACTGTACTAGGAGACAAGACCAACAACATGGACTTTTGACTGTAAAAGGATTCTGGAAATTTTGAATCTGTTGAAAAGCTGAACAAGGACTAAGAACAGTTGGGGGGGGTGGGGGGAGGCTGAGGCTATGTGCTTGAACAGAAAGCAGTCTATGATCCAGCTGTAAGCTACAACCCTGTACAGATCAATTAAAGATATTTAATTTACATAGTTTGGCCTTTTCACACTCTTTGCTTAAAGGAAATTTGCAAAAGCAGGAAGTTGGTTAAATCTATGCTCGTTAGTTCTAATGCTGCTTATTTAGGCCTGTGCAGTAAAGTTGACACCTACACATTTGTTAGCCTTTATACAGTCACACCACAACCCAAATGCAGCACAATGGCTGCCATTTCCTAGAAGTTTTAGGCTGCAGCAGCACCTTCCTCACACTAAGTGCTCAGCTGCATCCGCACTTCTAGGTGCATCTGTAGCAAATTATCTGCAAAGAGCTGGTGCACAATAACTGAATTCAACAAGCAGATTGTGAAACTAGGCTAAAGGAGTTCATAACATCCTGAAATTACATAACATTGTCTACTTCCTGTGTTTTTAGCTACCTAGAGACTAGTGACTTATCACATATGGCACATTTGATTGGGTCTTTGCATTTTTAATGTCTGGGTATATTTTCATGCGTTGATGCAGTTTATTCCAGTTTGTCTTTTAACTGCACACATCTTTAAAGTCTTTGCCATCCAGGAGGTTTCTAAAGTACACTTGACTTCTACGGTGTTCTGCTGCTGTTTTGTTGAAAGCAATCCTGATGCGTGGCTTCACCCATGTTTGTTCAGATCCTCCTGTTGTCTCGGGTTACAGAACAAACACTCACTCAGGTCTCAGGAAGAAATGGAGAGTGTCTCGCCATGGTGATGATCCACAGCAGGCCTACCCTAGTCTTCTCCTGTGGCTAATGTTATCTACCACCCAGGTTACCCCTGTAGTTAACAGTGAAGAACAGACTGGTAGACAATAGGGAATTAAGGCTGAGGTAATTTCATAGAGAAGTTTGCGCAATACCCGAATGGACTGGGTATGCAGAAAAAGCTCTGCAGTGTGAAGCACACAATCTTTAAACAACCTTGAGACTGGTAACTAGGAAGTGTGTGTGTGTGTGTGTGTGTTTCTCCTTCTGAAGGACTAAAGCTGTTTTCCAGCGGTAAGAAGTGGAAGATCCGATATAAAAGAGCAAAAGTGGTGTGCACAAAAAGAGGGAAGCACACTGTCACTACATATTGGCAAACCAATTCTGAAAATGCCAGTAATTTAGACAAATGTAGAAACAAAGATTTTGTATTGAACTGAAAATGAAACAGTTGCTGAAATGGGTGTTGTGCTTGCAAATTTCAAAGTCATTGTGGTTTATACACTGGGATAGGTGGTCAGTTGCAGCAAAGGGAAGCTGTAAGATGAATTCTGTGACAGTCTCACAATATACCTTTTTCTGTTTTTTCTTAAACTTTTTAATTTTCCAGCTGCATTAGTTACGTTCAGATACAATAGTGAAGCTGTAAACTGAAAAAGCTCACTCCAACACATCAGCTTGAATTCCTTTCGTGGGATAGTTTGAGGAGTGGTTTAGAAACCTTTGTCTGCACATACCATCACAGAAACTACCCACGCAGAGAGATAAAATGGTTGGGTCTAATCTGTCTTTACTCAGACTGCAGAACTCTTCTGGATATCAGTCAATATACCCCCCTTTGACATTTAAAACTAGTGATTTTGGTCTGCAGCTCATTAGGTTTTTGTTTTATAGTGCCTCTGATAAGGCAGTCTGCCTTAACTCCCATCAGAGATATTCAAAAGTAAACTTCAGAAAAGTTTTGGTTTCAAGTCCAACCCATTTCAGTTGCTCAAGTGTTTCTTTTGCAATTTTGAAACATGAGCCTGAGGACCTGGCAAAGATGGTATTGGTTAAGTTGCTCTACTTCCTCATAGCAACAGCCCGCCCCTTGATTTTAAAATAAGCAGTGTTTCTGAGAAGTCAGCTGACGCAGAAGTTAATCTTTAACGACGCTGCACACTGTAGAATTCTGAGAACTCTGACCCTGAGATACAAAGATAGGCCCAGTTTTCGCAGTTTGCTTTAACACTGCGTAAAAGGGGAGCAAAATTTGTTAGATTAAAAAGTTAAGTGCTTGCATGCCCTACTAGCCACAAAGAGACAGAACAAGAGTTCAGAGCTGCTTCACTGGTGCAGAATTAGAGGCTTGCACTGTTTACTTTAAGGTTTGAGAGGAAACTTTAATTAAACCTTTGACTAAGTCTGTGCTTGACTTGAAGAGAACCTGTTTAAATAACTGTGCAAAGTATCAGCTGATGGCTCTCCCTTAATGGCAGGAGTTCCTTTGAGCTAAACAAGTTTAAATAAAATGTAAATGGCCTGTATTGAGTGCTAGATCAAATCCTAGTTTCTACACTACATTTTGCAGACATTAAAGCTAAACATTCACTCTGTTACTTTTGGTGGCTGGGGCCCGTTCACAGCCTTTATCTCTGCTGACACTAGTGTCCCACGCTTCTTTGGAATCTGTACCTATAACTGGTTTGCCCAGAAGAGAAACGCCTGTTGAATGCCATTTATGCAAAAAGCAGACATGTGCATGCACATTCTCTCTGATAAAAGCAGCTACAAACCTGTCCTTGTTATAACTCACACAAGCCTTTCATTCATGCTCAGTTACTTATAAATGGATGTCAAGAGTCTGTTTGTTTCATTTATTATTTTTTACAGAAGCAAAGAGTACATATGATCTGTTATGTGCTCGTTGTGCAAGAAACCTGCCATGAAAATATTGAAACCACTTTGTGTCATATAGTCCACATTGCAACTCAGTGCTACTTAGATGACATTGCAAAACTTTAAGGACAAATTACAGTTCTATAGATTTACAGACAAATTTATGAACAACTTTATTCATATGACTGTTCATTAGCGATTGTTTTGCACCACAATGGTTCCATGATACTGGACTTCACTACATCACACTCTTTTTTTTTTTTTTTCTTCTTTTTATGATAAGATGGTTGACTTCAGTTCACCTTACACCCAGTGGATACCTGCCACCTCGAGTGTCAGAAAGTAGAAACGTTGCTGCAGTCTTTTTTTTAATGTGGTATTGTTAGAGGAGATACTATACAACAGTTGCAACAACAACAAAAAGAACTTGAAGGATGTATCAGAATCTGTGAAAGCCCCTGCCTGTGGCTAATATCTCAGTCTTCCTAGGTATTCCTGAATGCACCATTGTAAAGCTCAGCTTAAGTAATTAGCTGATTCGGTGTACCTGGTCTGGAAACAGAATAAAGCCACTCCAGTTCAGAAGTAAGTCCCACTCATTCTGACTTCCCATTTGGCATTTCTCCGTCCATTGTTGCTTTTTGTTAATTAAGCATTCAAATATAAATGAGCCATCTACTGCTGTGTCAGATTGCCATATTGTGTGTCTTTGGGTTTTCAGCTTTAAAATTCTATTTTTCTCCTGTCTAATCATACTTGTGTGTTCTGTGGTAGGAACTGTTCATAGATATGAGTGTCTTGCTCCCATGCATTTCCAAAGCCTTTTTAGCATTGTTGTTGGAAGCGGCTATTTCGGGATGTAGATAAAGGAAACAATGTCTTTAAATAGAAGTCTGTTTGTTTTTAAATAATAATTGCAGACCAGAGGTTGTGTGGTTTGTATTCGTCAATGGCTCAGCCTGAACCTTTGAACATCAATCTCTTCTTGGTGAGGTGATACTTATCTCAGATCAAATTTGGATCCACTGGGTGACGTGTCATGTTCCTTCCTGAGTGGAGTCATCTCTCCTCCTGAAACTTTATTCTTTGACTTGACTGATGACCATAGTGCAGTATTATCGGCTTATCCGTGTTGGCAGTTATGACATACAGGCTGGACTCTTGTCAGTTTCTACTGCAGTCCTCAGTTTTCTTTTGACACCCTGTACGTTTAAACTGTGTTCATACCTTTTTCTTTAAAAACAAAAAACAAAAAACACTTATTATAGTAGTCTTATTAATGGCATTTATTTAAATTAGTAAATTTTATATTGTTTGGCAGACTAGATCACTTCAGGATCAGTTTTAGTTCTCTGCCTAGGTTCTCTGTAATTTTGATATAGGCGTCTAGTTTGTGATGTTATAAATAGCTAAGGCCTACCACTGTCTAGTACGCAAAGATATGCAAACTACAGGAAAATGATGCATTTGTTTCCAAATTAAGTTGCCAAGCAAGTTTAGGATTCTCCATAGAAATAAATGCACTCTTCTCTTTTAGTGAGTGTTTGCTTTAAGATAGCTTATTGTAAGGCTATTCACACAAAGTCTTATAATAATTACTATTATTTTTATTAGTTTTTCTTGGTTTCATTTGTAAGCAATAAGCATCATAACATTGTGAAAAATGTCCACGATGGCTGCTGTGGAGAAGCTGGAAGACTGCTTAACATTTGGAGTCACTTCTACAGTAATGTGCAAAAGTCTTTCATTTCTTCATACACTACTCAGAAAAATTAGACATGTGACGTGTAGTGTAGCAAAAGTCGGAGAAAGGGTCGGTAATCATATAAAATTTTTAATCTGAATTACTGTGGTTTGTTTAATATATGCACATTTTAAAAACAAGTCCAATCATGGAGATGAGCATTTCCCATCGTGTTGCATCACTTCTTCTTTTGACAAAAGTCATTTGTGAACTGACCATTTCTTGTATTTCTTTTCCCATTCTTGCTTTATATTGGATGTCACTTGCACAACAGTAATATTTTGTGTCACCTACTTTGGTCATATGTTTCCAGTGCGTGAGAAGTTTGGACTACAGGCAGGCCGGTTTAGCAACCACACGGTATTACCTTATGGAGCAAAGCTGTTGTAACATGTAGATGTAGAACATCTTGCTGAAATAAGTAAGGCCTTCCTTGAGCAAGATGTAAGGAAGATGGCAGTATGCATTCCTCTTAAATCCTGTATGTGCTACTCAGCATTAAGATGTTTAAGTTGCTTGTGCAATGTGTACTAGTGCCCCATCATTATGGATGCTATTATTTGATGCTAGCTTCTAAACAGAACACATTGTCCCTTGTCTCTCTGCTCGTTAAGATGCTGTTAACAAAACTGAGATAGTTTTCCACTTCATTAACGCCATCTTAAATGAGTTCAGGCCCAGAGAAGGCACCAGTGATCCTAGATCTTGTTTATACACAATACTGTGCACATGTTTTGTGCCAGCCCTCTTTATATTTTGCTAGGGAAATGGGGTGTGATTGACTGAAATTTACATGGAAATGCAGTATATAAGCCTAAAACAGAATTTATACAACTCTAGCAAACTTGAAAGTCAACATCTGACCATCTTCATTCTTCAGCACAGCCTCAACTCTAATACTGTAATCAAGCTTTCTTATAATTTCTTCAGCAATAGTTTGGCTGCCATTTCTGTGTAATTTTACACTGGTGAAGTGCTACTGACGATTGACTATCCAATACCCAATCACATTGCTAACCTATTGTCAATTAACCTGATTAGTTGTCTGATTTTCTCGCTCGTGGAGTATGGTAGCGCTGTTATGGAATATGCTGTGAATTTAGCTAACATTACTTAGCAGTGATATGAGTTAATTTACTCAAGTGAAAGCTTTAAACACTAGCCCGATACATAGCTAGCCAACTTAGGCTTTCTAATTAACCCTCTGGGGTCGACGGACCCAGAGTCTTCATTTCAACTTGGGTTGAAAGTGCGAACTTCAAACTGTATACCAGTTGTTAAATTGTGTTGATAGGCCACTTAAAACCGGTGTTTGGTTTTTTCTGAATAAAACAGTGGCGTTTACTCCGAGAAGAAACGGTAAAAACTTATTTTCTAAGGAGAGCGCTAGCAAACACGCTTTGCCTGTGAGTGAAAAAGGAAAAAACACTCCATCCTGATTGATTTCGACCAATCAAAAAATGATATGGCAACATGTGGCATCTGGTTGTTTGGGAAGAGGGGGAAGTTTTAGGAGTGACCGGCGGGCGAGAGAGAGAAAGTTTTGATAAGTGAGAGGTTTGTGAGGTTTGCCGTGTTTGAAGTCTCAAGTTAGTGTGTTGTCTTGTGTAGTTAGTGTGTAGTGTAGTCGTGTTTTGTTTTGTGTGTCAGTTCTACTAGTGAACGTCACAGTTGCTGCAAAAAAGCCACCAAAAGCAGATTGCAGTGTAAACGCTGAGTGACACACCTGCTGTCAGACCTGCAGGTTTATCCCTGTGCTGTTGTCATCTGTATTATAGTGAACACAAACTATTTTTTTTTTTTTGGAGTTGCATAAATAATTTTTGTGCCTTCTTATCTGATGCAGAACAGCTGATTCTTTTGTAAAGTAGTTTTAAGTAGTTGTAAAAAAACTGAGCCTTGGCTGCATTTTTAGGTAAATAGCACCATATAACTTTGTTGTTTGCAAAACTGACAATTTATTTAAAAATGTACAATTTCTATTTGCATTTGAATTTATGAAAATGATTTGTTAAACATGCTTATGGTTTTTACAGTCAAAAATATCATTTTCTACTCGTATTTTAAATTGTCTGAATTTAGATAAATTGTGCTGATACAGTATGTCGAAATGAGAAAATAACAGATTAAAAACTCTATCTTGCCAAAGATGAAATATGGTCAAAAACGGCCAATTATACCCTGGACCCCAGAGGGTTAAAGGCTAAAAGCAAAGTTGTCACCAAGTACTGTGTATATTTGTGTGTATTGCTGCAGCTTTTTTGAGTATTAACTTGGTGCCTTTGGGTGAAATAATGGTAATATGAGGGACCGATCCATATGGTCACAAAGAATAGCCACTTGTTTCTGTGCTACCAAAGTTCCCCGGCTTTCATTCAAAATGTGTTTCTGGTCAGCACCTACACATTAAACTACTTAAACATTATGAATGTCTTCAAGCTCACACTGAAGCCTGTGGGACACAATCAGCCACTGAGATGGTACACACATTTATGTGTATTTGTATATGAATATTTCATACTTTAAGGCTGCCTGTTTATTTAAGGGAGATGAACAAAATACATTGGAATTGTACGTGATAATATGACGGATGATAAATTCAATAGATTTTAAGTAGATACTTGTAAATTTTCTTAAAGTCTTATATGTTGAATTGAACGATGTGATCTATTCAAAGCCTCTCCCAGTCAGTGCTGTTCTCCATGCCTGTCTGACTGTACATGATGTTATTAGCACAAACACTTTAAAGGTGATCATTTAGGACTTCAGCAATAATACAGACAGCAATGTAGTTAGCAATAAAACGGTTTAATTGGGAATTAACTTAAAAAACAAACATCTCCTATTTCTTGGAGATGTTTGGAAAGAAGCATCAATGTGCTGGAAAAGCTTGCAAAGGGACCTTGAAAGTGCTTAAGTGCTTGAATTTGACCCTGAAAAAGGTGTATGAACCCTGTTCTTTGTTTTTGGAACAGTGTAGAAGTTTCTAGCTTAACTTCAACTACTTCCAAGGTGTCTGAATTAGTTCAAATCACCAGCTATTGGCCTTCATCAGGGACCTTGATGCAAACACACGTGTGATAACTGTCAATGGAATAACCTCTTAAGACTTTATTCTTTATTCTGCCTGAAGGAAATCCTGTGAGCACAGATAATGCGTCTTTAAAGATAAATAGTCCTTTAAGAAAAAGAAAAAACCAACAACAACGTGCTATTGGCTGGTTGTGGCACATTTTCATTTATTAGGCTTTTCTCTAGGCTTTTTCTCAGCACATTTTGTACTCTACAGCCAGTCTTTGACCCTGAGTGAAGTCATTGGAAGCTTGTTGTGTTTTGTTCTATTCCAAGGATAGAACAGTTTGGTAACAAGAGTCACATTCTGTCTGGAAGGGTGGGATGTTCCCAGCCAATGTTCCCAGCATGTTACCAACAGGAAGGAAATTGCAGCGCATTGAGGAATAAATAGCAAGCCACAGAAGCCTGTGCTTGTCAATCAGTAACTATTTATTAAGCCTTGAGATGGCAGTGTCTTTTCTTATACTTATATTTTTTTAACAACAAAAACTTTACTCTGAATTTACTTTGCATGGGCTTAAATGAGCACAAAGGCAGAAAAATAACTTTCTGACTGCTTTTTTGAAGTTACAGTTTGTCTTCTGCTGTGATATAGTCTGGTAGCCCAATGTACAAATATGCTGTTGAGACCTGGGTTACCGTTGGAGTTCTATAGTAACATGATTTCTTAAGTTTGACACAATAAAGTGACCTGAGAAATGGAAGTAGTTAGATTAACCCATCAGTGTGGCCCAAGGTCAAAATTTCCAACTACCGTATTTCCCGGACTACAAAGCGCACCTAAATATTAGCCGCACAAGCTAAAATCAGGGGAAAATCCTGTTTTGTACATACATTAGCCGCACCTGACCAAAAGCCGCAGGTGTTTCAATGTTGACTTATCATATGTAAGAGAATATGCACAAAGGAAATTGTCAGGAAAGAGATGGCTGTTTGGAGACACACCCCTTTTATTATTATTTTGAAAAACAAGTTATGGGTACATATTTGCACATGTAGTACATAACAGTAACCTACAGCACACCAGAAAAATAGATTCGGACTACCTTTTAGGCTCAGGTGCAGTGACACAGCTTTAACAAGAAGAAAAGTCAGTCATTCACCACCATCTTTCTCTTCTTCCTGCGCACTAAAACCACCAAAGTCCTCTTCTCCAGTGTCGGATACAAACAGGCTCAGGATTGCTTCGTCATCCACTCTTCTTCTCTCCTTCGTTGTCACTTTCAAAACCAAAGAAATCCTCATTGTCAGTGTCAGAGTCGAACACCCTCAGAAGGGCCGTGGCGGTGTCCTCCTCTCCATCGTGCAGCAGTCCAGCCCTTCAAAATCCGTTGGTGATCGTGGATGTTTTCACACTTTTCCACGCTGTCAGAATCCACCGGTGGAGTTGGGCATAACTTGCTTTTTGGGCATAACTTGCTTT